AAAAGCGGGTTATTCATCTTTTGAAGGTGCAAAGCACAGTATTGGACTTAGCACATCCAGGGAACCGAAAACGATGAATTTCCAGAGATGTCATTCTTAGAGCCGCTGCCTTTAAAGACGGATTTTCTATGATGGAAGTTCAAAAAAATCCTTATTCACTTCCAAAATCGCCTACTTGATGTGATCCGAAAAGCCCATGTTATTCCTAACAAAATGGCTTTTCCACCACGTGCTTGTCTAACAAAGCAGACTAATGTACTAAGACCCAATTACTCCATCTGGCTGTCGCATTCTCAAGGAAATTGTTTTGCAGGCACTGTTGTCGGACCCTATAGTAACGCCAGTGACGGACGAGTTTCCCACGGATGAACAAAATGAGAAAGAAGAGGCAAAGGATAAGGATCAAAAAACTGCTGGGGACACTGTAAAGAGGTTTAAACCAGGCGCTAAGGATCTTAGTGTAGATTACGGGGCTAAAAAACATAAAACTGGAGCAGAGGTGGGTTTGAAGAGTTTAAATTTCACACCGAAATATTTTAAAAATTGCTTTAATTTCAGAGATGCGTCTCAGACCCCATAGTTACTCCAGTAACAGATGAATTTGCCACTGAAGATGAGGGTACAGAAGCAAAAGATAAAGCAATGAAAACAGATGGAAAGCAAGAAAATAAAAAAGAAGAGAATGGAAAAGAGAAGAAGAAAAATAATGGCAAGAAGGGCTAGCTCATCAGCTATAAGCTATTATTAGGACAGTATTCTTTAAATGCAACAATTATAAACAAAACATACGCGATCTGGACACTGGTCTTATATTGTTCTATTTATTATTTAATTACTACTGGTAATAAAGATTCTGATTACTTGCGCATAAGCAAATTATGAGACATTTAGACTAAGTTCAAAAATAAATTTGTTTTCAATAGTTAAGAGTCTTATATCAGCCTTGAGATGCTATAAAAGAACAACAAGTTTATTCCAGCAAATTACACACATATTAAAAAAATTAGAATCTATTACAAGTACGAAATTGCATATAGAATAGTAAGTTTACAGCTTATTGTTAGTATTATGTCCTTGTAGGATCAACATTGTCAACAATATCCGCGTGTGAACAAAGTGCCAGGGGGCGCAATGCATGCGCAAGCTGCCAGCAGTGCAAGCGCAGCAATTTGTTCACGCGCAAATGTTGTTGGGCAACGGTTGGTGCGCAGGGCACTACGGTGAGC